CAGTGATAGTCCCACTGACTGACCCACAGGGGATCACGGTGTGTCTGCACGGACCAGAAGGCAGTGAGTCTGGCTTGGGAGCCATATGTGTCAGAGTGGGATTTTTGGGTTATGTGGGACTCGGTGCTTAACATTTTGAGGAACTGCCAAACTACCAGCAGTAAATCGGAGTCCAGTTGCTCCGCCTCCTGTGCAGTGCTTGGGAATTCTGTTTAGCTTATAGTCCTCCTACTAAACAACTCACTCACTGCCCTCCAGTCCATGTCAGCTCCTCGTCACCCTATAGGACAAGGTGGAACTGCCTAGTGACTTTCCAAGACTTGTAACTGTTCACGGAGGAGAGAGCCCTGTCTGTCTTCCATGGAGCAGTTGGTGGTTTCAAACAGTTGACCTTGCAGCCAGCACCCCAACGCAAATCCAGATGCCACCAGGGCTCCTGGCCCTCCTAGTGGGTGTGAAGGAGTACCTCGTGGTCAGTCCAGCCCTGTAGACCTGCCCCCTTCCATGTTTCTGGTCTTCCAACTGGTTCTTGTCAGCCTTCACTGAGGGGCCACTTGGTTGAAGTGAAAACAAAGGATTGGCTGCCAGCCAGACTTTCCTCTTATTTTCTAGCAACATATGAAAGTAAAGAGTTTGGACGATGCAGAAAAAAACCCCAAAGCCATTGACACCTGGATTGAGAGCATCTCCGAGTTACACCGTTCTAAGCCCCCTGCGTCTGTGCACTATACCAGGTAAGAAACGCCACCCTCCCACCACACACACACACACACACACACAGACACACGTATGCACACACCCATGCTACCTCCCACTCCCTGTGAACCCGGCACTCCCAGGAAGAGACCCAAAGGGTTCGGGACTTCTTCGGTCAACCTAAGGCCCCGTGAGTCAGCGCATAAGACCGTGGTTTATGCAGTATGATCTCTGGAGCCAGCTCCTCCACGCCCACGGCGCTGGGTCACTCTGGTTTGCCCAGCCTTCAATCTCCTGAACTCCTGGTATACAGGTTTAGCCTCTGTGCTAGAATACCCGACCCAGAGGCTACTAACATTATGCTCGGTCTGTGCTGCTTCATATTTCCTTCTGTCCCTTAGGCCTATGCCTGATATTGACACGCTGATGCAGGAGTGGTCCCCAGAGTTTGAAGAACTTTTGGGCAAGGTGAGTGGGAAGGAGCCAGAGCGCAGGAAGTGTGGCATTTGCCCTAGGGCTTGCATCCTTCCTCTTCCCTGGTTGTTGTTGTTGTTGTGTGCCGTTGAGAGCAACCTGCTAGGAGGAAAGAGTGGGTTTCTGAGCTGACCCCTCTACAGGAAAAGGTCTCCAGGCTGTTCCGCCAAGTAGCTGGGAGGTTCGACCTCCAACTTTTCCGTTAGCGGCTGAGGCTCTTGGTTGTAATTATTACTCTCTTAAATGAAGTCTTAACGTGCATTTCACAACTCCACACTTCAGTCACTTTCCCCACCTGAGTATCATGTGCAGCCAGTCCATCGGGTCAGAAATAATGCCCTGCTAGTGCACTCGCTGCCCCTCGGGCTCACACTGCACGAGGCAGCCGCTGGCCGGGCTGCCCCTAGCATAGATGGGGAGCTCTTGTACTTTTTATCTCAGCCTCACTGTACAGAACAGGCTCTGACGGCTTCTGCTCTCTTGTTTAGCGTTAGGGGAGAGGCCTCTATTTTGCCTTATGCGGCTATCATCGTTACAATGTTCTGTTACTTGAATATGTGGCAGTTTGCCCATCCTATGATAGACATTTGGATAGTTTGTGGTTTTCAGTTATTGACCAGCAATGCTGCTATGAATGTTCTACACGTCTTTGTTTTCATGATTTTATTTAATTATTTTTATTTTATTTATTATTTAAAGATCATTTTATTGGGGGCTCGTATAGCTCTTATAACAATCCATACATCAATTGTATCGAGCATATTTGTACATATGTTGCCACCGTTATTTTCCAAACATTTACTTTCTATTTACACATGCCTTTAAAAGAAATAAAAGTTTGATTGTGTTTTGGATAAAGGTCCACACAGCAAAATGAGCTCCCTCCCATTGAACGAATTCTCCACATAATGTTCCCTGACATCGGCTCCATCTCCAGTGTGTGTCAGCTCTAGTCACGATTGACATTCTAGCCCTTCCGCTCTCGTTAAAGTGGCTTCGGTGGGTCCCGGACTTCTCACCTGTGCGTGCTCCAGAGTAACTCTTGGCCATTTGGCTTCGTGTCAGTGATTTCTATGAGTGCAGTGCTCAAGGGTGAACGTCTTTCCTTTTTGAGCTAACCTACCACTTAGTTAGAAGGTGATGTTGGGAGTCGCTTTGGCTCGGCGTTTACAGAACAAACAGTAGTCTTCCTGCCTCAGTAGACGCAGGCAGTCAGAATTCTTTGAGAATTTGAAATTGTGTTCCCCACGTTTTCTCCACATCTCTGAGGTCCTGGCAGGTTTGGTCGTGGTGGCCAGGGGCCTTCTTGTTCTTCTGATCTCAAAGTGAGGCGACTGCGGGCCAGACCGACAGCAGTCCTGAGCGCTGGTTCGGCCCTCAGTCTTGGGTCTTCTTCACTCACTGTGGCTCCAGCTGGGCAGAGACCGGAGCTGTGTGCAGTAGCTGCTCACAGACTGTCGCGCCTCTAACAAATGTCTTCTGATGAACAGTCATCCCTACTCAAGTAGGCTCCCCTTCTCCAGAGGAGGTATTTATGAAATTTTAAGAAGCTGATAAACCATTCATAATTTTCTCAAATGAAAAAAAAAAATCCAAGAATAAACGTAATAAGTTGGTAGGTTCTTTTTCAAAAGCAATTGTAAAACTTTAATGAAGGTTATAAGATAAGATTGGAATGGCTTAGGAGCCAAACCATATTATTATTCTTTTTTGGTAACAGTTTATTCATATTTTTGAATGGAGAGTTCAGCCTCACTGTTCTGTCAGCCCTCCCCAGTGTACTGTGTCAGTAATAAGATTTCAGTGAGAGTGTGAACATTTTCTAAAGTGGCAGAGTGATAATCAAGATTATCTTAGAGCAGGGCTGTCAAATTGGCGGGCCACATGCGGCCCCCGAGGTAATTTTTTTTTGGCCTACGATACTCTGAAATAAAATGAAAATAGAAAAGATTGTTCTGAAGAAAATAGCGCTATCGAGGCAATACCGTACACACAATTCCCTCGTTAACCCTTTAACTACTGAAGACACATGGCCAGTGCCTTTCCTGTGGCCTGTGGGTGTGTATGAACGCACTGACTCAGTTCTGGCGACGTTCGGAAGCGATATGTCTGCCACTCTCAGTGTCACGTCATGTAAACAGATTCCAACAGTGAAAAGGTTAAAAAGAGCACTCTGGGTTGTGCTGTTATGAATCATACCTAGCGGCAGCGCTAGTTAACATTTTTAGAGAGAAGCCATTATAATTGTGCATCACGTTCGTCAGCTGTCCAACATTTTGTGTTTTTTATTAGTTACGTTGTTATATTTTCCAGTCACAACATAAGAGGTAAGAGAAAACTAGTAGGAGGAAAGCGCTGGCAAGTTTTAGGCAAAAAATAATAATTTTAATTTTATAAATACATTAAATAAAATAAATGTTTAAATAAAAGCAATTACATAGTGTTTTAATTATCCTATCCATATTCCTGAATCCTCACTTCAAAATATAAATTTAACAAAATTTGTAAATGTGATGTGGCCCACATGAATCTTTCCTGTTGCACCAAATGGCCTGTGTTTTAATTGAGTTTGACACCCCTGTCTTAGAGAATAAAATTTCAAGACCAATAATGAAAATTTAGAAAAGTAAAAATGATAAATCAGTAAGGTACTACCATATCAAGAGACAAATAGGTCCGTGGTACATACTAACTCAGAAACAAACTCATATATGTATGGAAATTTGGTTTCTAAGACAGGTTATATTTTATATGATTCTAGAATCAAGTTGTACATCCATCTGAAAAAGAATGTTAACCTTATAAATACAATTAATTTCAAATGAATTAAAGAGTTACTATTAAATCTGTGCACAAGCACATAGGCATACACATACAGAACCAACAGTGTACATACATAAGAAGCTCTAGAAGGCCTAGTAGCATGTTCAGTGCCCTGTTCTGCCTTGTAGTTCATTGTGCAGTGCCTATGGCCGCGCGAGCTTGCAGGAGACCCCCAGCGTCTGTTTGCCTGGCGAGTCAAGCAGAGGAGAGGAAATGGCACGTGTGGCTATGATTACCTGCACGGACAGTTGCCGGGAGAGCAGAGGAACTGGGTGGTGCCCAGCTACCGTGATTGAATTACTGTCAACAAAGATTCTGTAGAAGAACCCTAGTCAAAAGGGAGAAAATGTAGAACAGAATTCCTCATTCTCATGAGCTCCTGACTTTGAAGCCACAGAGGCTGGATAAATGCCCCAAACTTGATCTACGATAATCTTTAACTCTTAGCCAAACTGGTCCCCTCAAGTCTTTTTAAAATCAAACAACAGGCTAACTAGTAAAGAAAGTTCCCCTTGAGCCTTGTGGTCTTTTAAGACCTATCTCAGGAAAAGAAAAAAAATAAACATCAAAAGACCTATCTAAGGAGAGTCACCTGTGGGAGAAAGATGTAGCTTTCTAGTCCCGTTAAACAGTCTTCGAAACTCATAGGGGCAGTTTCACCCTGTCCTGTGGGTTGGCTGTGTGTCAGGATCAGCCCGATAGCCGTGAGTGAGTGAAAGAACTTAATTATGGGCTACTTACATCAAAGTTTGGTAGTTCAAAACCACCAGCTGCTCCTTGGAGAAAGATGAGACTTTCTACTCATGTAGAGAGTTACAGTCCCAGAAACCCACTTAGGTAGCTCCGCACTGGCTTAAGAGGTGCCATGAGTTGTGGGTGTATGAAGGTATATGTGATCACGGATTCTGCTGACCTTCTCAGGTAAGCATTGGATTGCTCACTGAAAGGTGGAAGGCTCACGCCCACCAGCTGCTCCTGTAACACCTGCAGCCTTGGAAGCCCTCTATAGAGTTGCTGTGCGTGGGGCTCTATTCCATGGCAGGGGTTGGTGGCTGTGCAATCAAACTGACAATAGCCAGCACCTGGACAGGTTAGCAACAAAGGTTAGGGCACAGCCCCAGTGAGTTCCTGTTGTGCAGGGGAACAAGCCAAAGGAGGGTGAGCGGCGGACAACAGCGCTGAGCAGCCGTCTCCGTGTCCGTGGAGACTGGAAGTGCTGTGACGGAGAGGGGTTGTTAGGTGAATAGAACACGACAGCTGTGCGCACCCTGGTTTCTTGCAAAAAAGGAGAAATAAAGTGTTCTTAATTCCGTGGTTCTTAAGCCTACAGTAGTACAATAGGACCTTTTTAGGTTCGAAGCCTGTCATCCAAGTGATTTGTCCATCTTTTCTGTTCAAATGGTGGCCTAATACCGCTTAGCGTTTGTGTGAGGCCGGGTGCACTAGAAACACGCCCGGTGGCACTCATCTGTGTCCCTGAGAAAGCTGTCTACCCAGCAGTCATTCGATACCAAGAAAGCGTCCCAGCCCAGTCCGGCTGCGGTCCACAAGTTCCTCTGCAGACTCCTGCAGCCACACGCAATGGTGCGCAGTGCAGGAAGACCACGGCCAGTGAGTGCAGTCGTGTGGATCGCAGATCGATGGGAACAGGGCAGGGCTCCGGCAGCTCTGGAGGTGGCCAGCCAGCAAAAGATGGAGAAGGGGGCAGGGGGGGGGGGCCACCCCCCCAAGGAGACAGGTCTGACTGCACCATTAGCCGGGACCATTTGCTTCTTCCCTGATTCACAACGGAAGGCAGCTTGGCAGTCTGTTTGCCTACAGAAGCTGTTGGCCTTGACAGCATCTGCTACCCTCATGGTGAATGAGTGTGGCCAACTCCCTCTTACTGATCAGGAAAAACAAACACAAAAAAGCCCGCCTGATGCTAGGGATTGCTTTTCCGTGGGAAAGAGGGTGGTACCCGGTGCCACTGAAATGGCAGCTTTTGACTTTGGCCCCTGCCACGCCCCTTCCAGGTGAGCCTGCCCACTGCAGAGATTGACTGCAGCCTGGCAGAGTACATTGACATGATCTGTGGTGAGTGCCTCCATCCCCGCCTCCGCTCTGCCCACCCCCACCCCTAGTCCCCATCCCTGCCTCTGGAGAAGTACAGTCCCGCGGCTTGAAAGGCTTGCTTACTCTGAGAGGCGAGCCCCTCGAGTGGCAGACGGTACTGAACAAGCCAGCGGTGCTGTCGGCAGCACTGAGGCTACTGTTGGGGCTGTGTGACCACCTGCTTGGGTGCGCCACGTCTGGACTCCTCGGCGCACACGCGGGAGTGGGGGGGTGGGGGAATGCTAGAATGGGTTTCTCTCCCAGGGCGGGGCTGAGTATCTTCCACAGAAACGCCCCGATTCCCACGTGTTCCCCTGGCTCTGTCCATCGGCTTCCTTTCATTTCAGCCATCCTGGACATCCCTGTCTACAAGAGTCGCGTTCAGTCCCTCCACCTGCTCTTCTCCCTCTACTCCGAATTCAAGAATTCACAGGTATGGCCAGCACCAGGGGCTGGCCACAGCTGTACTGTGGAGCCCCGGTCGTGCCATGGGCCAGGGGTGGGCTGCTAACTGCAGAGTCAGCTGTCCAAACATACCGGCCACTCCTGGGGACAAAGGAGGCTTCCTGGTCCCATAAAGATTTACCATCTTGGGAGTCCTCCGTAGGGTCACTGAGTCGGAATCAACTTGGTGATGGTGGGTTCAGTTCTGGGGACAGGAGCAGCCTCCACTGTCCCTGAGCCTGCTTTCATGAAGGCCGCGGGCACTGGAGGAGGCCTCTGCCCACAGCTACTTGGGGAGCAGCGGAGGAGGTAGGGGTAGGGCTTTCACAGGAGGGAGAAGGTGCAAGGGCTGTGAGCCGGATAAGAGAAACAGCAAAGAAGGGGTCTGCTTTTGAAAGCGGGGCAGAATCCTGGCTATTTGTCAACGGCAAACATCAAAGAATTGTTTGAGAAGCAGACTGGGAGGGTTGCGAAGTGGTTAGGTCTGGCTAACGTGTAGTGCCCGGTGCAAATACTCTTTGTTCCTCCCTTCCTTACAGCATTTTAAGGCCCTGGCGGAGGGCAAGAAAGCGTTCACCCCTCCCTCCAACCCCACCTCCCAAGCCGGAGACATCGCCGAGACCTTAACCTTCAGCTGAGACCCCTCCCACGTCTGTCTCCTTGATCCCAGCGGAGAGGTCCACATCATCGTCAACCTGAGGAGTCTCTGCTGGGCGCAGGGACAGTGTCCTTACTGCCCCGCCCGCCCGCCTTCCTGCCTGGAGCACCGCAGACTCATCTTCTGCCTCTGGGGTTACACCCACACCCCACACACCCCCGCGCGCGCACACACACACATACGCACACACTCGCGGGTTTGAGAAGGAGCGTAGGTTGGAAGGAAAGCTTTGAAGCGGGTCCTTTTGGATGCTGATGAAATCCTTCACTTTCTTTTTAATGGTAGTTTGCCAAGGTTTTCTAAATAAAATGTTCCAGAGTCTCCTGCTCCTCTACAGTTTGAAAAAGGAAATGCAGGCGGAACAGAAGGAACTTGAGCTAGTGACGGACACCAAGTGAGTAACACTCCTCTTGGCAGTAGAGAGAAAGGTTTTTCCCTCTCCCAGAATGTGATCTCCCTGTGAGTCTCTCACCAGTGAAGGCTGCCCGCCTCACCGCACGTTGCCTCCCTGCTGAGCACCGGCCCACTGGGGTTTGGTCCCATAAGCTCACCTGTCTCGGCCCTCCTGTGGAAGGTGGCTCTGACTCAGGACAGGGCGGTTGGCCCTGTATGGTAACGGGGAGGATCCGGACGTGTTTTGGAGGTTATATATATTCACCAAGAAGTCCCACCGTCATCGTTTTGCTAACACGGGAGTTAGTCTAGGGATTTGGCTGCAAAGGTGTTTAAGGGCTGAAGGAATGGATGGAGGCTGGCGGTTGGTGTGCAGTATGGGTGGTGGATGCAGGAGAGGTGCTGCTGTGGCCAGCCTGGCCTTGGAAGGCTGGAGGGGTTGGGACCAGGAGGGGGGTGGGGTGAGGGGGCAGCACTGCTGGCGCCTTCTGTCTCCCATTGATAGAAAGTCCCAGCTGGCAAGGGACTTGGAATAAAGACACGTTTTAGGCACCCAGCTCCACCTGCACAAGGCAGAGTACAGAAAGGAGGGTGTGGCGCTGAGACAGCAGACAGAAACCACCTGCAGAGGTAGCGCCTACAGAAGGTAGGCCAGAGGGCATGGGGGATGGGAAGGAAGAAAACAAGGAGGACTCCCAGGTGTCCTAACCTGAGCGACCCAATGGGTAATGGAGCCAAGTGCCCGTGGGACCAGGGTCTCGGGAGTCGGGATGCATTGGTTAGGATTACATGGAAATGCTGCACCTTCTGCTTACAACCAACATGGGAGAAGAGTGGGTCTCTTACTAACTCTGAAACCAACTGATGTTGCCAGCATGCTTGAGCTGAGCGGGAACCTCTCGCATCCCACCGGGGGCTCCGGGAGCACCATTCAGGCTCCCGGAGGGAGCAGGTAAAGGGGTGAGCACTCGCGTCCTTTGGGTTTTCAGGGAGAACGGCCAGGTGTCTTCTTGGTTCAAGCCTGGCCTCCGCAGATGCTTCCTGGCCGCACTGCTGGTTGATGCCCTGGCCTCTCCTGATGCTGCACCCTGCCTCGCTTTCCACTCTCAGCTGAGGGCACAGCCTCCATACAGGGGCTCTCTGCCCCCCGCAGTCACCCACAGTCCCTCCCCCGGTCATTGCTCAGCACCTCGAGGACAAACAAAGTTTTATACCACAGTTAACCCAGCTAGGAGACGGTTCTAAAGCACTCACTAACCTCAGGATTTCCGGAGGAATACATTTACACCTTCACCTTTCGCACTTTCCATTGGCCTGTGTCCCCTCCCCCCACCCCATTTTTCATGTGCAATGTGAATGTGCTCCTGGGGGACTAACCGGCCTGCCCTGCTGCCCCCCGTGACAGGGTTCTCTGGCTCAAAGTGCCTCCCCTTCTCTCTGATCCTTGACCCTCAATACTTCCAAAGAAACAAAAATCAAACACATGCTCACACCCTCCGTGGACCCCAGTAAATGACAGAATCACCCCAAAGCAAACTTGTTGCTGTCTGGCTGATTCTGACTCGAGGGAGGAACAGCCCCACAGGGTCCCCGAGATGATACATCTCTGCAGAAGCAGACCACCCGCCATCTCTCAGAGAACAGCTGGTGAGCTTAACCGCCAACCTTTCCGCCGGCCAAGTCCTTACCCACCAGACCACCCAGGCTCCTCAGAGGACAAGGAATGAAGCCGCTGAGGTCAGGTCCCAGGGAAGAGGACACGGCTAGCCTAGAGAGCATTTCAGAAGACGGACAGGCATTCAGTGAGGGGTGTCAAGAAGTCACTTCCAAACAGCTGCCATGCAGTGGAGACCGACTCCGCTGGCGTTGGAGTGGAGCTGCCCCGTGGGTGTGCCAGACTGTCGTTCTAACAGGAGTGAAAGCCACCGCTTTCTTCCGAGGAGCAACTGGCTGGGGGCTTCAAACTGCTGGCCTCACGGTTAGCAGCCCAACACGGAACCTTCTGCTGAAATCTGACAAGGAAGGAAGGAGTGGGAACCCACGAGAAGCAAGTATGTGACTGCAGCCCCTGAGAACGGCTCAGGAATCAAGTTCTGGAACTTTCTGGCAGCAAGTCTGCCCACTAGGACTGAGGCTCGGAAGTTGGGTTGAAGTGTGGTTTGTATAAGTAGCAGCTCAGCCGAACTCTGCCCAGCCTGTCCCCCACATCAGCCGGGGCACCGCCCGACCCCAGCGGGTCAGCCTCCAACCAAAGCGGCTGTGGATGTGAGCATACCTAGAAGCAAGAGGCCACATTTAAAACAGGATTGAATAAAGGGATGAGAAGTCCCCTTCCAGTTTACATTTCCGTAGCAGAATCGGAGTCCTCTCCTGGGAGACCCGCAGAGGGAGGGGAAAATGAGGAGCTGATACCAAGGGCTCAAGTAGAAAGCAAATGTTTTGAGAATGATGGCAACAAATGTACAAATGTGCTTGCCGCAATGGAAGTCATGTATGGATTGTGATGAGTTGTATGAGCCCCCAATAAAATGATTTAAAAACAAACCAAAAACTGCAGGGAAGTTGTGAAGAATGAAAAGAAATAACCTTTTAGATTGAGAGCTCTCTGCCCATCTGTGTCATCCAACCTGCCCCAGCCCCTCAATCCCACCCAGGAAAGACCCATCATCCCAGGCCCACCGTCACCCTCTCAGAGTCCTAGGCATAAAGCAAACACGAGCCAGGTCTCCAGAAAGGAGCAAAGGTCACGTGGAAAGCGTCAGAAAGCCCACAGGGGTTTTCAATTTGGAAACCTGAAGACAGGTGAGTGACCCTAAGTCCAAAGTATTAGCGCAGACCCATCATTCAGGCCAAGGCCTCTTCCCAGGCCTCTTCCCAGGCCCGAGCTCCCACTCCGGTAGGAAGAGCCATTACCTCCACCCGTGGCAATCATTCCCTGCCTGCCTTCGCATAGGATCACTGGGGATGGTGCCTGTTCCCAGCCACGGGGCCATTCCAGATGTGAGGAAATCAGTGTCAATCCCAGTGCACTCGGGGCAGGGGCAGGGGGTTGCCCAAAACGGCTTCTTCCTTCCTTCCTCAGTAAGACTGACTTACACACCTTAATAAGCTAGTTCACTTCCGTTTGCTTCTAAACTCGACCCAAAGCCATTCCCGGGGTATTCTTTGTCTTGTTTCTTTTGCTCACATTATGGATGTGCGGAGGTGAACGAGCTGCAGCTCTCTCAGGTCAGTTGTGAAAGGTTATTCCAGGTGAAGGAGAGGGAACACTGGGAGCTTAGAGGCTGGTGAGTCTCTGAAAACAGGATCCAGGTAGGACTGGGTGGTGGGGTGGGTGGGTTGAGTGAACACAGGAGCTCCGTGCTTCCTGGGAGGCAGCAGGACGCAGGGGAGACGGCCTGGGTGGTACACATTACACAGCGGCTTTACACTTGTGTGATGAGGGAGCAACAACGAGTTCCGGGATCTGAGAGTGACAAATGAGGGGCCTCTGAGCGGCACAAACGGGGTTCAGACCCTTCCAGTGACACTGTGGGGGAAAAGGCCTGGGGACCTGCTTCGGAAGATCCACAGTCCCGAGATGCAGTGCCCTCGACGTGGAGGTGCCATTGTGTCCTTGTTGCTAGGTGTCACCAGGTTGGCTCTGCCCCAGAGCAGGATCAGACCGCACACCGCGCAGTCCTGCGCCACCCTCACAACTGCCCCTGGGTTGCCACGAGGTGGGACCGATTCCCTGGCATCTGGCTTGCTGCTGGTGGAGCAGCATGGATGTTTTCATAGCACAGCTGTAGGGTGGGCAACCCCCTGCCCTGTACCGAGTGCCATGGGGCCAGACACTGATTTTCTCCCACCTGGAATGACCCCCGGTAGACACCAGTGCTAGGAAAGGCAGCATCCTGCAGCGAGCTGCTGGGACTGATAAGCAGAGGTCAGGTGGGACAGTGAGCCCCACAGCAGCGATCAGAGCGGACCAGATCCCACGCCTGCGTCTCATGTGCTTGGGACGTGTTGTCAGGAGAGTCCAGTCCCGGGGGAGGACGTCCTGCTTAGTAGAGGGGCAGTGGGAAGAGGAAGGCTCTTGACAAGATGGCTGGACACAGTGGCTCAAACCCAATGGCCAGGTGGGGTGGGACCAGACAGCGCTTCATTCTGGGGTCCCGACACCATGACAAGCTGGGACCAGCCTGATGGCACTGGCGCCTGACCCCCACCAAGGTGCCGGACACATGACTTACATTACTAGCAAGCCATTCAACTCCACTGGAGGGCCACAGGCCCTCATTTGCATAGTCTGACCTTGTAATTTGGGGGCAGTTACAAGGCCATGGTGGGAAAGGCCGTACAAAAGTCGTCCATCCCACGGCAGGCCTAAAAAATGCATCCCATGTTTGTCCTTCTCATCTTTCCGATGTCCTGCAGACAGATGGTGTAACACGGTCCCCCTGCACCTTACTCTCCATCCCAGCTGGGGACGGGCAACGAGGCAGTATTCGTGTATCAAAAGCAATCTCTTTTGAGAGAATGAATTGAGCAAGCAAGTGCCCACGAGAGATGGCAGATGGTCAGCCTCTGTCCCCGGCAGAGCAAGCGAGCAGGCTGAGC